CGACGACGACAGCAACGGCAACGACATCGACGACGTGAGGATGTTCGAAAAGCGCACCCTCTCCTGCCGCTCGCTAAGGCACGTTTTACTTGTTAATAACTGCTCACGCTTTATCGCTGATTTCTCGTACCTCCAAATTTACACTCTATTTCTCAATAAAGGGTTATGCGACGATCACTGGTTACTCGCACACTTGTTCTTTGCGTTTCTATCTCTCTCTCTCTCTCTCTTTCTCCTTTTTATTTCTCGTCCTACTTCCCTCTTCTCACCTTTCTACTTAATATGTACGTACATACACTGTTGGAGATTTTCGCACTGTACGCACTTCATGTTTCCTTTGCACAGACCCTCCATTGGTCCATAACTAAAAGTGATATTATCGCCGACGATGAGTCAAGGAACGTTTCTGGGCAACCGTTTGAGCCAATCGACTGACCGGTCGACGATGATAACGATGACGAGAATAGTTTACTCCTCCTCCACCATACAGTGAATATCCTTCGATGTTAAGAGGGGTGCCAAAAAAACAGAAACAGCATTTAGACACGAAGGCCGACAACGGTTTCTCGTGCGAATCCGTTCCAACAGAGGAAGGAAGGGACGCGGCGCGTGTATGCGGCCTCGCCACCTCCCGGACCCTGCCAACTTCGCCGTCGCCGCCACCCCTTTTACTCCCCGCTCACCCTTGACGATGGCCAACGAAAAACACCGAGACGTTAAAATAGATCGGCTTTCGACATGCTCATGCTCTCACAAGTCCGAATCGAGTCGGCAACGATTACTCGTCCCTGCCGACAGGTGGGGAAAACTCAGAAATCCAATGAAAAAATTCCTTCTTCTCCACCTTTCTTTTCTACAAAGTTCCTCTAAACAGTAATCTCCTTCTTCGTCTCTTCTTTTCGTTCTTCCTTCCAATTAACTTTATCTCTTCTCTCTTAACTTTTATTTGGAATCACAAACTACTATTCCACTTTGCAAAAGTACCGAAAGAAAATCCTTCCTGGTTAATAATCGTATAGGTCGGTTATTCGGGGGCTTGTCCGAAAGCCCTCTCTCCGGCACTTTGATGCCACCGCTGGAACTGCCGCCACCGCTGCTGCTGCTGCCGTCGCCGCTGCTGCCACCACCACCACCACTACCACTACCACTACCACTACCACTACCACTACCACTACCACTATTACCGCCGTCGCTGTTACCCCCGCCGTTACCCCCTGCCCCCGCCGCCGTCGTCGCCGCCGCCTTCCTCCACCTCCTTAAAATCTCTCGTTAAAACACAGACATAGCCACCACCACTCCATTAGCACTATTAAGAAAAAACCAAGAACCTGATTCAGTCACTTTCTATGTATCCAGATGATTTTGTTTGATCCTTTAAATAATTTGTACTCTCCTCTCAGTGAAAAATCTTGAAGAAAAGTTCCGATCGGAAAGTCCGAGAGGAGGTACTCCCTGCAGCCATGATGTCGTCTGCTAAACGCCTGGCGCCGCGGCTCGTAGCGCCTGCGAACGCGTTTCACCTCTGTCCCGTGCTATTCCGAAACCCCTCTACTTATCTTTTTACTGCTACACTTTTATTCTTTTTAAACGTCATTATCATTCACGATTTTATTTCATCTTTTTATTGAATACGTCTTTTGTAAATACAAAATCTTTTTCTATCTTGTTAACGATTAAAATTAATACATTGTGTATACACGTTCTCTTATTTTTTTCCAAGACCATTTAATCTTAAACAAATATATAAATAAATACTACATTCGTAGAAATATTAAATGAACGAATTGGAATACATCGAAATTATTGATCGGAATAATTATTCATTAAAGAAAATAAATCTATGATCGTGCTTGTAAATAAAGTAAAGGGTACACAAATTCAATACGACGATACTGATTTTTCCGAACGAAGACCGAAGATTGATCGGGTCTTTCCGATCAAGTGAATATCAAAGCATGCAGGTGTCGCCAGTGTTTTTCTATCATGTACATCCGCTAGGAGCCCGCGTATTTGAAGATTATTTTTTCGTCACTTTTTTTTACATTTGTGGAATGAATTCTTGTATAAAAGTACATACATTTAGCGAAAATAAATAATGTAAAAAGATAATAAACGTTTATATACAATCAGTATGTATTTCGCGAAAAAATATCATTTTTATTGAATGTTCGTATATTTCTAAAGTAAAAAAATATATATATAGTTCAGTTTTTATTTTTTTTTTTATTTTTCATTAGTTATTTTCAAAAATTGATTTTCTTAAAAAACATTGTAGCATAACACATCTTTAGTATTTTTTGTCTTTATGCAATTAGAGCATTTTTGTCTAATATTTTTTTTTTTTTTGAAGATATTAAGAAATGAAACAATAAATATCTCTGATGTATTGAATTGCTATTTCTATAAATTAATACAGTAAACATATATATATATATACTTAAAGTCTTCTTTATATTATATCAATAAGGATGAGTTACGTCATCATACGTATGTAAATTCATTTGTTTCATCTGCATTTCATTCTAATATGTGCCCATAATTATGCAAGTGGTCTAAGTCATGTATCTCTTGTTTCGAGATATTTAAAGATTTCTATTTGAATATTATATGAATTCTATGTAATATTGAGAAAACAAACATCTGACGATTCATTTTTGACAATATCGTGAAAATTACATTTAATTTATTTAGTTTAAAATAATGTGATGCGTAATAACTAATAAACTCATTTTTTTAATTTTGACTTACATTAGACCACTTTCATAATTATGGGCACATATGTAAAAATGTTTTGTACATCAAAACGTGTATAAATAAAAAATCATATAGAAGACATGTTAGGATTGGAATGTTTTTTTATTTTGTTTTGTACGAATCTAATGATCTCATAAAATTTGAAATAGAAAATTTTTGAAATTTATTGTAACAAAATAATTATAAATACTTTTTTATTATTTCCTGTACCACGTTATTATATTATTTTAAAAATTTCTTGCTCTATATATATAGAGAATATATATGCTCTATATATATTCTACATTACATTGCACTATAATATAAATCTGAATTGCACTATACTGAAATCTATCCGGAAACTATTCGACTTACAAGTACGATAATACTTTTAAAATATATATATTTCTAAAAATAAGGATTCGTTACTTGATTTATTCGAGCAGTATTATAATATATTAGTACAGGAATTCATAGTGTTTATGTGTGTGTATATACACTCATATGAGCAATAAGAGAGGGAAAATAACTGGTCTAATTGTAAGCTCGTTTGATGGAGAAAAAACTACCCCTATCTGTTTTTTAGTCTTCCATATAAACTCTCTTATTACTGAGATTCATAATTAACACTTAGCCGACCGATCGGGTAGATCTACCCATTTCAATGTAAATCGGTACCCGAACGATCGGGGAGATTTCCCACGTTGTTATTAGCAATGCGTTTCCTTTTTTTTATGAGTTGTTCACTACTGACGAACTGTTTCTGTAATAAAATCCATCAATTTAGTTTGGCTTGCTCGAGCGTGGTGGAAATTCGTTGTGGTTTGCTGCACGCGCGTGGTCGGCTAATAAGGGGATCTTACACTGGAGCACCAACGGATTTTAATGAGATTTGGTATATTAATAGTATACCTTTAAGGTATTATCATGGTAAAATATTTATGTCCATTGGCCAGCCAATTTTGAGAAAAAAGCAATTAAAGTTTTGCTTTTTTTGTATATCCACTTATTATTATTATTATTATTATTATTATTATTATTATTATTATTAGTTAGCGTTAGGAACTCGAAAGTTCATTGCCGCAAATACCAAATCCCACCATTGTTCTCGTCCCTGAGCGCGATCCTTCATTCGAGGTCTTCATATCCTATTTCTTTCAGATCTCTTCTAATATTATCCTCCCATCTACGTTTCGGTCTACCTAGTGGTCTTTTCCCGTTCGGTATACCGACCAATATTTTGTGCGCTGTTCGATCCTCCCCTATGCGCGCCACGTGACCAGCCTATCTTAACCCTTTCGCTACGGCAGTGTCTTCCGTAGGAGCGTCACCGCTGTACGGGCCCGCGTGCCGCCGAAGTAGCGCCACTGAACGGACCACTGCGCCGAAAAATGTGCACATCGCGCTTACGTGGCTGACGTCGTCTATAGGCGACGCTCGTACACACAGAACATCGCGCGGATGTCGCCTACAGGCGACGCTCGTAGCGAAAGGGTTAATCGGCGTGATTTTACGATGTTAATAATGTCCGGTTTGTTGTCAATCGATGTACTTCAACGTTATGGAGTTTTCTCCATTCGCCCGTTTCCTCATCGCGTTTTGCACTGAAGATTTTACGAAGAACTTTGTTTTCGAAAACCCTAAATTTCTTTTCGTCCCGTAACGTAAGCGACCACGTTACGCTACCATAAAAGACTACCGGCAGGATGATTGTCCTGTGTAGCCTGATTTTTAAGCGCCTAAACAGCAACCGCGAGCTGAGTAATTTGTTAACCGAATAAAAACATAAATTGCCTAAATTGATTCTTTTAACTGCTATTGATCTGTTTTAACCCGCTATGGATACTAAAATCTTCCGACATATACATATCCACTTATAAACTTTTAAATTCTAATAGCTACGTGTAGCTTTCTCGCTTCTCGCACCGGTTGTTTGTGTTCGATTCTCCATGAGGAAAGTTCTTTTTTTTCTACATACAAATTTTGAAATTTTTTTTTACATTTCTTTATTTCTAATTATAAATAGGAAAGAGAATTTAAATTATTACAAAAAATAAGATATATATATATGTGCCTATAATTATGAAAGTGGTCTAAGTCAAAATTAATAAAAAATGAGTTTATCAGTTATTACGCACTACATTATTATAAACTAAATAAATTCAATGTAATTTTCACGGTATTATCAAAAATGAATCGTTAGATAATGTTTGTTATTTCAATATTGTATTGAATTCATATAGTGTTCAAGTATAAATCTTTAAATCTTTAAATATCTCGAAACAAGAGATATATGACTTAGACCACTTTCATAATTATGGGCACATATATATATATAAATCTTCAGTAATAACTAATAATATATATATATATTTTTATATGATTAAAACATATGTCATTGTTATTTGTACTATTAATAAACTAAAATATATATATATATATATATATATATATATATATATATATATATTATAGATTTTGAATTACATGTTAAAAAATAAAAGGTTTACTGTAATTCAAGTAATCAATTTTTCTTTATTATTTGTGCAAGATGTTAAATAATTTATTATGTTTTATTTTTTCTAATAATTTTAATTCTCTTTTGTATATATAATGAACCCTTTCGCTACGAGCGTCGACCGGCATAGACGGCATCCGCGTGACGACCTGTGTGTACGAGTAGACTATAGACGACATTCGACTGATGACATATTTGTACGAGATTCGGCTAAAGAATTCGACAGCGTGATACTGTTTGATCATCAGCCTCGCGATATTTTTGTTGTTAAACATATTGAACATCGATGGCATTTGGCTCATTTTTTTTAGTTTGTTTTTAATTTGTTTTGAACAAATGTAATATAAGCATAAATCAGATTAGCGGCGAGACCTGCCGTAGCGAAAGGGTTACAAATAAAGAAATGTGAAAAAAAATTTCAAAACTTGCATATAGAAAAAATTTATATAAAAAAGAGAACATCTCGCATGGAGGATCGAATACAAACAACCGGCACGAGAAGCGAGAACGCTGTTACTTACGCTAGCGCGCCACTTGATGAATTATGGAATTTAAAAGTATATAAGAGAATATACAAAAAAAGCAAAACTTTAAATGCTTTTTTCTTAAAATTGACTGGCCAATGGACAAAAATATTTTACCATGATAATACCTTAAAGGTATACTATTAATATACCAAATCTCATTAAAATCCGTTGGTGCTCTAATGTAAGGTCCCCTTGTAAGTGTTAAAAAGTTAATTACTTAGAAAGTAAGTGTATTCATGCTTTTTCTTGAGATGTTATCGTGTTACAATATTTATTTAATTGTTCACTTAAAATTTATGAAGTCAAAATCAACAAAATTATGCTTTTGAGATGGCACACACTCATAAAAGTTGTCCCTAAATGATTGATACTCGTTTTCTATAGGAACACAAATTTCAAAGATATACTCGCAAATCAGAAAGTTCTGAACAAACCTCTTACATAATTTCGAAGGTATATGTTTAATATAAGCATCGTCATTATATTATTGCATTTTCTCTGTGATATCATAGAGCAAATACTTTGTCTACCGTTTCAGTTTTATATTAAATTGGACCTGCGCGAGTCGTCTTTAGACTCAACAACTTTCTGGTTCTCCTCATGTCATGCTTGTCTTCTTACGTTTAAAAAAATATTTATCTGATATCGTTTATCTAATCTTCTCAATCATGCTGCTTGACTCGCAAGCTAGATGAAGTTATTTAGCTCTTACAATTTTTGGAATTAATTCCGAGTTGGCATCTTTCCAAGATTTCCAACTTTGGACTTGATATGAGCTAAAGTAAGTTTTCCTTCAATTTCTATCAAATCCACGTTATTTCTTCTACGTGGAACAAATGTTGAATTACAGTTCAGCTGTTGATTTAGGCAATTCTAGAGGTTTTGTATCGTCAGCCAAGAGAGCATTTAGATCTACATCTTGGAAATTTATTGAATGTTGACTGGAACCTGAAAATCATTTAGAATTATTATAAAAGAATATACAAAATAATATGTTAAAGAATTGTTTCTAATAGTACTCCGTATATAAATAGTAATTTTCTATTCGAACTTTATTATTACCAGCATGAGCAAGGAAAAGATCCTTAAGGAAGCCCAATTCTTTTGTAAGCATTTTTATTTTCTCTTCTAATAGCTCATTTTCTCTTTTAAGCTGATTTACACGTTCTAGAGTCTGTTGCGTGCGTAATTTACTTTTAACTCTTGATCGTTTTACAGCCTACAATTAGGAAAAGAAAATGTATATCCTTAATAGTATTAACCCTTTGACTGCTAAAGGCGTATATATACGTTTCACAAATCCATCAATATACTCGAAAGGCGTAAATATACGTCATCTGTATTTTTTTACTATCACATCTTTATTGCTGTTTTACAGATTAATTTTACATGGAATTTATTGATATGTAACGTAGCAACTAAATTACTTTAAAAAAATTTTTTTAAATTCACATTTTTATTATATTTGCCACTATTATCTGTTTTGGTTAGCTGTCAATAGAAAAACAGTCGCAGCGACTGACATGCAAAAATCGCGCCGTCTATATTAATAAATTAGTTCGAGAGCGCGTCGCAGTCAAAAGTTAAAAGAGAATAATGTTATTTTCCAAATAACAACTACATATATATACACAAATTATAAATTATATCTAAATAAATAACAAACGATTTTACCTGATTGTTTCTATCACGGCGCCTCCTATAATCTTCGTCATCTTCTTCTTCAGAAACTTGTTTTTTTTTCTTGTTATCAGAATTGTTTTCTTTATTTTTGGGAGCCATTTAGAACTTTTAAATATGTAGGTTACTACAGAAATTATATGAAATTCTTTAAATTAATAAATAATTATATACAATCTTTAAAATTATAACGTAATGCTTAGCACTTGAGTAATTATTTAATTTTACAATTCATTATTGGAAGAATTGTACCAATGGATGAACAATAATTAAACCGTAAATACACTTTCAAAGATAGCATATAAAAATTTTAAAAAGTTGATAAAATAATTATATTGTATGACTGTAGTTAAGGCTAAATGTATACTAGAACAAGAAGTTTACAACGACAAAAGCGTTACCTAGTGGTAAAGTTTAGAAGTTATTTTATTTAGAGAATATGTGAATAAAATCTTTCTATTTGAAAATTATATTTCTCCGTTTGATAAGACATCTAAGATCGATGTATAACTTCTACTTTAAATAATTTTATAAACGTATAATATAATTTATTGATTATAAATAATAGGCAGAAAAAAGTAACATCATATGAATGAGTCACTAATCGTTTTCCATATGTCACGTGTTTTTTTTCCTACTCCCTGTATTATTTCTAATTATTGACAAGTTATTTTTTTTTGTCAGGGTCAATGTTTTTCGAACACGCAATAGATCGTCAAGATTTATTCACACTTAACCGTATGTTTAAGACATTCAAAAAAGTTTCTATAATTTCCCTTACCTTTGGATAATTTTGATATTTTTCTAAGATTTAGAAATTGTTTTTATATCCAATAAATTCAGCAAGATATATATCGTAGAATAGACACTTTTTATTGTAAATCGCACGCTGCATTAACACGACGCAACACAATTTAATTGACAGATAATAGATGATGCAATAACACTTGCAGTTAATTCACAAATAGAATACACTACCCTCTGACGAGAATTATTCGAATTGTTAAAACCTAAGAAAAGTTACTGAAAACATATTTTTACTTTACACCTTATATGGATATTTAAGGAGAAAAGATAGAGATTTAAATGTGTATTTTTATTAAAAATCCATAATAATATTTTTTTCTCTTTCCTTATTGTTTCAACATTTTAAACTATTTTTTAATTATTCGAATAATCTAATTTATCAATACATTTGTGGCGTCCCGCACCTAGAGACCCTATAGGAGGGACGCGCCATGTAGATTGCTGAGGGACAAGAACAGCGATCCCAGAGACTTTAGTTCGTTTGATCGACACAGGGGCGTAAAATTATCGTACACGGCAAGAAAATGATCGTACTCCCCGGGAAAATTTGAAATCCGAAAAAAACCCAACAATTTCTCGAACAAAATTTTCAAAATGAGGAAAAAGTGTCCAAGTTCCAACTTTTTCAAGTTGATGACCTGAAAACGGTCGTCCGCTGGGAGATCGTGATGGTGGTGGCGGTTGGGGTGGGGGTGCACCTTTC